ACTTCCAAAAGTAATCGATTTGGCGTGGAATGACCCGTATGGGAGATGGTGCAGAAGGTCGAGGTCGTTGGCTGTAACTGAATCGTCCTCGTGGACGGTAAACAAATTGGAGTAAATGGACCCTGACGATAATGCATAACGCGTGTGCACAGGTGTGTGTAACTAGAATATATACCTAACCTAATCGACGTTTAATAAATCTCCGTAATACAGCACGCTACGCGCACTTCCGGTTTACTGCAACAAGATCAAGGTTACTGTTGCTCGCCCATGAAGAATCGGGTTTCTGCGAAGATACGCAAAATAAACAAGGGGAATCAGATACACTAAGGAACAAAGTATAAATTGGCGAAGGCTTTAAATTCCTGATCGCGTTGCCAAGCGCGTCACGCGATCCTTTCATGCGTTGTTCGTGTTTTCATTCATGCCGTAATTCATAAATTATGCATACGTTACGATTGTGCCGGGGACTTTTGTGGAGAACCATGAATGAAACTGACGGAGAGCTTCGTCGTGGGTCCCTGACGACCGATAGATCGTGAAATGTGCTAGTTATTAGGAGGACGAGAGCTTTGATTTATGTGGACGGAAGAGTGTGAGACGTTTCTTCAGGGAAAATGGCAATTTAGAAGAAAAGACAATTCTAGAAGTTAAATTTGGACATTTGAAAATTTGAGATTTCAAGAATTTGAAAAATTTGATTACTTTGTGTAAAGTTTAAAAATTTATGAAAATTTTGAATTATGTGAAATTTGATAAATTTAGGAATTTTATGAAATATGTAAATTGTGTAAATTATGTGAATTTTAAAATTTTGGGAATTTTATGCAGTTTGTAAATTTTATAAAATTAGTAAAATTTATGAAACTTGATAACCTTGTAAACTTGGTGAAATTTGAGAATTATAGGAAATTTGTGTATTTTATGAATTTTATAAAATCCGCGAATCTTAAAAATTTTCTAAAAATGAGAGAATAGTTCACACGCAAATTTTTAAAGCTAATTACAATTACCTCAATTTGAACGACACAAAGTTCAGAGCAAAATGAAAAATAATTTCAATATCGTTTTATCAATAATTACAAACAATAAATTAGCGATGTTACAAATATAAAAATTGTGATCGAACAGAAGAATCTCGTTCAATTTCCAGGCAACCTAGAATTACTCCACTTTACCCCCTTAATACTGGTAGCGTTTCTGTCAAGAAAAATTCGTAACGATTATAATAAAATGAACACATTATTTTCAATTGCTCTGAGACTGGCGAGGAATGGTCTGAGAAACGTATATCTATAATAACAGGCGAACTGAACGTCAGTTCTCGAGAACGTTTTGCTCAAGCTAGTCTCTCTGGGTGGTCACACCGAGCGATCTCCAGATCGTAGATGTACCGGGTCGTTCAATCGAAACTGATTTTGAATTACGAACGTAATTTCGATAGAAGTATAGATGTATAGAGAAGAAGATGTATTAAGATGTAGGAGAAGTATTAACATTCTTGTATCTTTGAGGACTTCGCAAATTAGAATGTTGAAATATTGGAAACTAAGAAGTTTAGAAGTTTAAAAATTTGGGAAGTTGATTAGTTGGAAATGTGGAAAAAAAATTTAAGAATTTGGGAAGATAGGAAATTAGGAGCAGAATTATTTGGGAGTGTAAGGACTTGGAAATGTAGAATTTGAGGATTTGAGTATTTGAGAACTTGGAGATCTGCAAATTTGGAAGTTTAGCAGTTTGGAAATGGGGAGTTTACTATTTACAAATTTGAGAACTTGGAAATTTTGAAATTTGAAGATTTGGAAATTGAAAATTTTAGAATTTGAGAGTTTGAGAATTTGGAGATCTGGAAGTTTGGAAGTTTAACAATTTGGAAATGGAGAGTTTACTATTTACAAGTTTGCGGACCTAAAAATTTGGGAATTTGAAGATTTGGAAATTGAGAATTTTAGAATTTGAGAGTTTGAGAATTTGGAGATATGGAAGTTTGGAAGCTTAACAATTTGGAAATGGAGAGTTTACTATTTACAAGTTTGAGGACTTGAAAATTTTGGAATTTAAAGATTTGGAAATTGAGAATTTTAGAATTTGAGAGTTTGAGAGTTTCAGAATTTGGAGATCTGGAAATTTGGAAGTTCGACAATTTGGAAATGGAGAGTTTACTATTTACAAGTTTGCGGACCTAAAAATTTGGGAATTTGAAGATTTGGAAATTGAGAATTTTAGAATTTGAGAATTTGAGAGTTTGGGAGCTTGAGAACTTGGAGATCTGGAAATTTGGAAGTTCGACAATTTGGAAATGGAGAGTTTACTATTTAAAAGTTTGAGGACCTGAAAATTTGAGAATTTAAAGACTTGGAAATTGAGAATTTTAGAATTTGAGAATTTGAGAAATTTGAAAGTTTAGAAATTTGAGGATGTAATTTGAAAATTTAAGAGCTTCAGAATTAAACAAATTTGAGAATGTGAATACTTATGTGTGAGAACTTGAGAACTGAAAAATTTGAAAAGTTGAGAATTTGGAAATTTGAGAATTTAAGAATTTAAGCACTTGCGAAGTTTGAGAGCTTAAGAATTTAGTAATTTCGAGATATAGAAACACATTGCAACACCTTACAATTAATTATTCCCAAAAAATTGCATCACTCCTAATCAGAAACATTCTCCCACAAAAATAGTTCGTACGTCAGCGAATTTAAAAGAGAAACAAAATACTTAATCCATCGCAACGAGTAAGACAAAAATCTGCTCCGGAAGCGTTTAATCGAAAACAGCCTCTCATAAAAAAGCCTCCCAGTAAAAAGTTCCAGTTCACGCTTAGAAATACGCCTCTCTAAATTCCCTAGCTACTAGCTGTAAACTTTCACACACGCGGGTGGTCCATGGACGTATGTTTTTGAAGGTGAGAATGTTGAGGGGATGGGTAGAGGAAGAACGAAAGAAAGACAGAAGGAAGATTGAAGTATATAGGATCAACTTCCTGCCAAGAAATACATCCTCCTTGTTTTCTCTAACACGAACCTCTCTCCTGAAAAGAAAAAAGAAAATACCCCCAGACGACGAGGACTGAGATGATCTCGAGCAGTCTTGCGACACCGAGATCGTCCCTTGAGATCTTTCCATCTCGAATGCCAACCAGAATGTGCATGGCACGTGAACAGGGGACCTATCATTTTTCGAAATGGATGTGCTTCCGACGACATGATCGGACCTTGAATTTTTCTCGGAATTCAATGTACAATTATTACAGCTACGTGGAATTATTTCAAGAATTAAAAAAACTGAAGTACCTCACTTCACAGCTACTTTACTTCATGAAGTAAAATAATGTACTTCATTTAAGTACTTTTACCTGAGTGTTCAAATTTATTTAAAATTGGCTTACGTTTGATTTAATTTCGTTATAAAATAATGTAATAAAATTAACTGGAGAATTAAAGACATTGTATTACTCTGTGCAAAATAATTTACTTGACTTAAGTACCTTAACATGAGTGTTTAACTTTATTTAAACCGAAGTTCTTTTTAATTAAAGAAATTTAATTATTTCATGTAAAATAATGTACTTTAGTTCGAATACTTTCTTTAACACTATAAAACAATGTAATTGATTTATTTTATAAACGAAGATAGAAAATAAATAAAACTAAAAATACCACAATTGAGTTTCTGAGGAAATTTATTTTTTGATCACCAAAATGTAAAATTACAGTATAATTCTATTAACACATTACTTATGATACAATTTAAATATCCCCTACCATTTGATTTCTTCAAAAATAATTTTTTTAAATTAAATTTAAAAATTCCTTCAAAAATTAATTTCATATTTAAACGTAACTAATTAAAACACCATTATCATTCACATTCTAAAATAAATGTCATTAAACTTAAAATACTTTCATATTAAAAATCAATATATCGACGCATCTACTAATAAATCGCAATAATTATGAAATAAATTGAAAATGAGAGACAGAGTGAAAAAAAAATGCATTCTTACTGACTTACTGTTATAAATTATTGTAGTACCGCTGTCTCAATGGAAACATGTAAGAAGAAGTTAAAGCTACAACACGTCCTTTTAGGGCAAATTGTACAGTACAGCTAAAGGGTATAAAAAAAAGAAGTATGTTTCTGTCTGAAACGAAAGCCCACAGGGTGGCGTGCGTTCGCACTATTATCTACGTCTAGTTAGCGTAACTGGCATGTGGAGACAGCGATGCCCGTATAACCCGCAGAGAGCGTGTATTTTATCGATTAGATCGCTTACAATACGAAAAACACGAGAGACTTGAATGCCCGCACAAGAGACGTCGGCCCTGTGCGCGAGACTTACTACTCTACTCTCGTGTTTTTCGTTTTTGTTTAATGAAGATTTAATTAATTTGTGATGAATATTGTGGTTTGAGATTTTGGGATTTGGGATTTGGAAGATTTGGGATTTGGGATTTGGGAGATTTGGGATTTGGGATTTGGGAGATTTGGGATTTGAGAAATTTAAGATTTGGGAGATTTGGAATTTGGGAGATTTGGAATTTGGGAGATTTGGAATTTGGGAAATTTGGAATTTGGAAGATTTGGAATTTGGGAGGTTTGGAATTTGGGAAGTTTGGAATTTGGGAAATTTAGAATTTGAGAAATTTGGAATTTAGGTAATTTGGAGTTTGAAAGATTTTGAATTTAGAAAATTTGGGATTTAAAGAATTTAGAATTTGGGAAAACATATTTCAAGAAAAGCACCATAAAGTACATATTTTACAATAAGAAATCTAAGAATTCGCTATCTAACGCATTCGATATTTTCAATCTCGAAAGATCGATTAAACTACTATGCGAACGATACATCGTCTGCCTAACGTCCAATAATCCTATGTAGCAAAATAATAGTACAAAACAGTATACAAGCTCTAAATACAGTATATAAATAATCATAAACAATTTTACAGAACGACTGTTGAAAAGATAATATAATGATGTTATTTTTAAAATAAACATACCTTTTCAAGTTGATCTAACGCTATCGCTGCATCAGTCCAGCTAGGCCTGATATAAAGATCCGATTCGTGTCGTTGCTTCGCGCTCTCAGCGCTCTTGGCATTTTTATCATTATGAATTTTCGAAGCACTTCCATTTTGCGACGATAGCGAACCCTGAGGGCACTGAGAACCAGAAGGGCGTCCCGCTAGGATCCCTGTAGGGCCGGACGCAGAAACCATGATCCGTCATACATTCGCCCCGGCACAATTCGCAGTATGATTATTTGTAATATTACTCTCCTGCGACGTTTCTTTCAACTGGATTTATCCCCGGTTCTACTTTCCCTCCTTCGAAATTGCTCGACACGATACGCGTCGGAACGTAAAACACGAACACGATAAAAAACGATTATCACTCAGAACACTGGTAAATTTTCTCACGAAAACACTATTTTCACAACACACGTTCGATCGGTCTTTCCTGTTTGCCGCGCGATTGATCGATACCGTATTCCTGCGTCGAGCACAATAATCGAAATTCGCGCACAATTTACACACAATCTCTCCTGCGCATGCGCGGCTGGATCGTGCCCATCGATGGTATACGCACGAAAGGGAGCGAGCAATCGGTTTTTAGGTTAGCTCCGTACCACCGTGCAAGAGTAAATACGTGACGGCTCCCTCTCTTCGTCGATTCGTCTTCACTTTCTGTCTCTCTTTCACCGTATCCCTCCGTTTCTCTTTTCCCACTGGATACGGTATCCTCGTGTTCCCTCTCTCTTCTGGTTATCTCCCTCTAGCGCGATTCACAGTACCGCCGACAAGCACGAGGGCGCACACGCGAGTTCGCTTGTTTTGAAATATCACGCGACTAACCGGGAATTCGTGAAGTGTACTCGCCGTTTTTCGCGGGAAACAACCACGTTACGTGCACGTGCCTCTTCTCTTATGTCATACGAACGGAAAGAAATCCGACGAGGTTCAACCGTGGCCGTGTCTCTTCTGCTAGCGCACGATTACTGGCGTGGCACGTAGGCCACGCGCACCTC